CCTTTCACCAACTATCCCAGTAACAAACTCTAGTGTCTCCCATGGGCAGGCACTGAGCTTGCAGTAGCCAACCTGTCTGTGACCTTTCTGGAGCTTATGCTCCTGTGGAGAAAACAAGAAATTAAGAAACAGAAAAAATAATTGCTCAAATTTGGGTTAGGAGAACTATATCAAGAACCCAAATAGAATTGCTAATTGATCTTTTTTTTCCCTTCACTTAATTAACCTTGTAATTGACATCTGAAAGTTATAGCAATATACATGTGGAATGTTTATAAACACCACCAGGTTATCCATAGAAAATGTAAGTGAAACCAATTTGATTGTTGTACTGCAGGTGGTAAAGCAGTGCCTTAAAGCTAAACTACCTCCCAGGCTCCTCCCTGTATCCACTCAAGTTTAGGGAAAAAGGATGGGAAGGCCATGGACCATAATTGGAAACCTTCTGGAATAATCTGCAGTTTTGACTATCTGCTCATAAACTAACACATTTGACACTGAAGAGCATTTTATTAGTAGGATGAATATTGAGAATATAAAATTTTCTATCCAAAGTAACTTTGACCCAAGATGTCTCAGCCTTTGTTCTCAAGCCCCTCTATATTCTCAGTCTTACCCACATTTACTCCTACTGAATACCATTGTTGTGAAAGCCACGAAAGGATGCAACTCACAGCCCCATGGATGCAATTATTGTGACATGTGCTTCCGTTCTTATCCAGTAGAAATTGTATGTTGCCCAGGATTGATTGATTTATTACTGCCTTTGTACTTTATTTTGTCATTATTCCTTATTTTCTTTGTCAAACAGACTCACACTCTTCTTCATAAAATCACCCAGTCCTGTCTCTCAGTAAGCAAAGTTGCTGATGGTTCAAAACAGCCCACTGTGGAAACATGTAATGATAGCACTTGGCAAAAATGGCTACTAAGAAACTATACAAGAATGGAAGTTCTTAGAAATATTTTTGGGAATACTACTGAGTACATTCTTTAATGATTTATAGAGGTTTGTTTATATTTGGTTTTATTTTGACATTTTTGTTATGTATGGTAATTGAAATCTAGAAACTTCTTTATAATGTCATTAAGAAAAAGATGTTATATACTGCTTCTCCACAGAATTACTTTTTGTCTTTTACTTATCTTTCCATTAATTTGGAGACTATGTATTAAGTACTGTTTAGTCCATACTTAATGAATAAGTATTTTCTAATTTTTAGTTTCAAATTTAGATACATATATTCAAAAATATAATTGATGGAATTTATTATTAAACATTGGCTGTTTTTAATGAACTGTAGTTGTGTCTATATAACAATAGATTTTGTATCAGAAATGAAAAATATTAACAAGCAAGCTAACATAATCAAAAAATGGATTATTTTGGATCACTGAAAATACTTGTTTGTTAATTTTTATTAAAATACTTTGGTTATATGTAGATATAATTCTAAAATTTATAATTATTTTAATTTTAAAGAAAAAATGTACATTATTAAGAACTAAGATGTAATTTTCAATAACTTTGTGAAGATATTTTTCAGCAATTTTTGTGGTATTGGTTAAGTGATATAATGATAACAGTAAGCCTTTTTTAAAATTCTACCTTTTATCTCTCACTTGTATGACTTGTAACTACCTTCTCAGTAAGTAATAAAATGAGTCATTATTCTATGCAAACCAACCAATTGATATGCAATTCTTATGAATAAGAAAAATAACAACATGTCCTAGGTTTTGGTTTTAAGGGATTTATTATCTAATAAATGAAGGAATTTATGTAGCCCCATACCTTACAATGAGAAAACATGGAAGTTATGAATGTTTTGAGTTCAGATTAACTAGTTCAAGATTTTTTAATGGAGACACAATTGAATTTGATAGCCTTAAGTCTGGTTGTAAGGCTTGTGACAAAGTGGGGACTAGAGATATGGAGGGAAGAACAATAGGAGTATTGTTTAGATTAGACCTACATTTGAGAAAAGAATATTTTGAGCATAACAGTTGGAAAAGTCCAGATCTTTTTCACAAAGAGAACTTGAATCCAAGGCAATTTGCATATATTCCCTGGGTTTCTTTTCAAAGCAAGCATACCCAGTTGTGCAAAACCTGACAAGATGTTTTTAGGCTTAACTAGACATTTAATCTCAGAAGTGTTTAAAGAGTTATAGTGTTTATAGGCTTCTGGGGCAGAGACCACAGCTTACTTCTCTAAGCAAAAGAACTTAGAACAGTTTCAGTAGATCTTAGAAGCTTCTGGGAACTATACTTCACCCCAGGTGACAGCCTGGTAGAAGATTACAAGATCTAGATTAGGCAGAGGTGCAAAATCTCCTATCCTATGCTCATGGAGATGGGTGTTACCTACTGGAGCAACTCCATAGGCATAGGTCTTGGGAACCCACTGATGTATCAAAGTGGCAACTGTTTTTGCACTCAGAGAAGCAAAAATTTGACTCTCAATCAGGTATTCATGTTCTGTTTATCAATCAGAGGTCATTGTTATCATAAACCATGTTGCCTAGAAACACAAGTAACATTTCTCCCCTTATCATGTTGCCAAGGGATCAGAGTTAGAGGATTGACTAAAGGTCAAGGTATGTAAGTAGAAGGGAAAAGGATGTTTGTAAGCACCTGTGTGACAAACTATTTTCTGACAAAGTATTTGATTCCTCAGAATGATTTGGTGGCTTACCCAACAGCTCACAGCTAATAAATGTGGGGTACAGGAGTTCATACTTCAGTCTATCTGAGCCTACAGTAACTGATTTTGTACTGCACTACTTCAAAGCCGAGAACTCTTTGGTTGTTATCATTGCAGCGATAGATTTTGGCTGTTAGTGAGTTCTTTCAAAATAAATATTTTTTTTTTTTAGAAAGAGCAATACTTGGGGCCAGTGCTGTGGTGTAGCAGGTAAAGCCACTGCCTGCGGCACAGCATTCCATATGGGCAGCTGGTTGGAGTCCGGGCTGCTCCACTTCGGATCCAGCTACCTGCTGATGTGCCTGGGAAAGTAGTGGAAGATGGCCTGGGTAGTTGGGCCCATGCACCCACGTGGGAGACCTGGGGGAAGCTCCTGGCTCTTGGCTTCTGATCCTCCAAGCTTTAACCATTGCAGGCATTTGGGGAGACAACGAGCAGATGGATGGAAGATTCTCTCTTTCTCTCTCTCTCTCTCTCTCTCTGTCTCTTCCCACCTCCCTCCCTCCCTCCCTCTTCATTTGCCTCTCTGTGACTCTGCCTTTCAAATAAATAAATAAATAAATAAATCTTTAAGAAAAAAGCAATACTTACTAGCATTTTTAAATTATAATTATTTGTGCAGTTGATAATGCACACTCAATATTATCTTTAAAGAAAAGTCTCAAATACCCATATTATTTTTCATACAAGGTTAATGATTATCAAAGCATTCAACTACTGTGCTGTATAATCAGATTTGAACAAGAAAAGCTTTTTGGAATAACTCAGTGTGTAATAAATATATTTGATTTGTGTAAAATCATTCATTTCTTTTAAAAAAGGATGAAACAGAAGCATACAATTTAAGTGGTTTTTATGAAAGAGAGTAATACATGAAGGACCTCAGGTACGTAGCAAAAATGAAGAATTTTTGTTCATTTTAACTAGAACTCCTTAGAAAAACATACTGTTTTTATTTTGCTGTATATCTTTTTCCCCCAAAGCTGACTGCTGGTTATATTTCTGGCATCATAATTGCCTTTCTTTGACTGTTTCTTTTTCTTCATTTTGTAGTGTAAATAGCTGGATTCCATGTACTCAAAGAGCAATAACAAAGCCTTCGCTCTTGAAATCCCCACATTTAATAGTGTTGCTTTGTTAATTTCCTGGTTGTTGTCTATTAAGCTTCCTCCACCACAAGCCTATTTCCATTCCACTATTTCTCAGAACAGTGTCGTCCAGGGTGTTGCAGTCCTAATGTAAACAAACTACAATGCTCTAGCTGGTGTCTCTACCACTTTTATTTCACATCCCTGCATTCATTTTCATCCAGACTCAATGTATTATTGAGAGACAAACACACACACAGAGACAGAAAGAAAATATTTTATGTACCCTTAAATCTGCTTAATTGCCCAAAAAATGGTATCTGGAATAGTTCTTTCAAGATATGCCTGAAAACCATCTCTCAAACATTCAAAAACTTCTCTTTTGGTTGGGGAGTTGTCTATATGCTATGATTAAGTTAACAGTAATATATGTTTTGTATATATTTAATTTGTATGTATGAAGTATAATAATTTAAAATGTGTACTTGAAAAGTCCAAAAGCCGTGATTTCAAATATAAATGAGAACTCCAGTGAGTGGTCATGTATTGAGTGGATAACATGGTACAATTATTAGTATTATGAAGAAAATAATACAAAGAATTTAAACATGTATAATCATCACAAATTATTTATATTTGATTTGCTATATGGTGAGCATGATATCAAGTAAGGCAGATCATTTGTTGCTGTGGTATCCTCTCTTCTACAATGAATGTCCTACATTCACAGATATTGTGGCTTGTTGAGTATTTTGAAATGGGAACATCTCTAGCATTTTTGTTCATTTGGGTCACAGCTGTGACATCCATTTGCATATTTACCAAATGGTTACTGAATAACACATGCCTAAGAAAACTAAGCTTTTGTGAAAGTGTGTTAATTTTTTCAGTCCTTAACTGAACTCCAAGCTCACAAATGGGCCTATTGCAAAGGAGACTGAATTCTTGGCAACACATGATAAATGTGAGCTCATTTCTTTAACTATTTGCAGACATGGGTGTACTGGACAATGATGACTCAGTAGCGGTTGAAGTTGCTTAATAATTAATTCAGAGACTCCTGTGCACAGTTCCTCATAAAAAAAAATTATAGTGCATTATACTAAAAAAGTCATAACGGATTTTTTAAAGAAAATATTTAATCTTTTATGCTAATGAGGTTAAAGATGAAATAGATCATACTGATTACTGGTTGTCTTTTACAGAAACTCACCTTAAGACACGTTAACAGTAACCAATGTCTTGATGAACCTTCTGAAGAAGACAAAATGGTGCCTACCATGCAGGACTGTAGTGGAAGCAGATCCCAGCAATGGCTACTGAGGAACATGACCCTGGGGGCATGAAGACCTTTTCTCCCAAGCCATGAAAGTGTCTACACTTTTGTTTTTCCATTCTTTCAATTAGGAGGAAATATTAACTTTGCTGAATTGAAAGTTTTAAAAATCCTTTTAGTATTATAAAACACAGTTGTTTATAATTCATTTTTAGGAATGTTTATTTCCCTACTAAAATTTCTATCTGATTGAAGAAGCACATAAAAATACAAATAATAGCAAACTGTTATTAAACATCAGAACAACTTGTAAAATGAATTGTGTTTGCTTTAAAAATCGTTATTGCCCTCACTCAACAGAATTAGTTGGGGATTTATTTCATTTTTTCTTGTCATAGTGATTGAAAGAAAGATAATGTAAATGCCTTATAAAATATCTTCATTATGAAATACCAATTATTTTACAGACTTATTCTCTCTACTGAATGCTCATGGACAAATACTGAATTTATATGTCAACAATAGGGCCAAATATTAAAGTATTTCTGAAAAGTGAATTCATTTTAAAAAGAATGTTACTTCCAGATATTTGTACCAGGAAAAATTAAATTAGATGTTGAATACCTAGAGTCTTCACAAAAGCATCACATTTAACCAAAAAAAGAGAACAGTCAATTTAAATTACATGAAATAAGAAATTATGAGGCATTGAGGGGGAGTAAGATGAAGCTAAGCTACAACAATTATATCACTGTAAGAGATACTGTGGTTGGGTTGCAAGCATTCATAAAACGGACAGAAGCTGAACAGTTTTGCTCCCAGAATTGATACAGGAAACCCAATCTCTAACTCCTCTCCTTGTCTCCATAAATTATCCCTTCTTTTATATCTTCACTCTAGAGAATGTGGTTTATCACTTATATTTTGTGGAATTGTAGATGAAGGATAAAATTTTATACTAATTTTTAACTCTTTTGCTTTTAAAGATTTTAGTTATGTCATTGTTATCATTTAAATTTTATATTTAAAAAAAGAAAATATGACATCAAAATGTCATTGTTATTGTACAGTATCCAAAGTTCTCAACACCAGAAGAAGAACCTCAATGCACATTGTTTTTATTTTAATTCAAGTGCTAGATATCATTTTCCATAAATGGTGGCCCAAGAAAAATAGTCATAATTAGACTACCTACCCATGATGTTTTTCCAGCTTAAAACCTTTATGCACAAAATACATGAGCAGAAGATGTGAAAAGGAAGAAAAATCTATCAGTGAAATTTCTTAATAAATTTTTCTATTTCACAATAGCTAAAATGCCCATGAAGTTGCTTTATATATGTGTTTCATTCATGTAAATGCACTCAACAGCTAAGAGAAATATAGGGAGTGTGGGTGGGAAATGGAACCACTGGAACAGAAGATTCCATTTTTTGGTGTTTATCTTTGATTAAGAAACTCTTATGGAATATATTAATGTTTGCCTACATACAAATAGCCTATATTTATCTCAGCTTCATAATGAAAAGCATGGCCCTTTCTAAAGACCAGTAACATTTTGAATGATTTTCCCAGCTGGTATTCCTTCTTTTTGCTCTCTGTTGGTACAACTGTAGAGGATTCTACAAACTGGAGCATTACAAGTTTGCTCCTTGAAATGTGGACATTTCCCCACCCTGAGGTCTCTGGGAATTCCCAATCAAAAATTGCAAGCTAAAGTGTGAATGTCACAATACGTTTCTTGAGGAGGGAGTTTGTAACTTGCATTAAATTTGTAATGAAGGCTCTGATTTCAGGGAGGTACCCAAACCACTGCCTTGAATTGGTAGTGGCATCTTAAGTCAACCATTGCCTGACTTAACCCCATTTTCCATTTGCACTCTCCGTGTCTCCCCTGTTTTCCTGTGGTCATAAATAAAATTAGGTAAAATGTCCTTGCACACAGTTCTTCTTTAAACTTAAAATGATTAAACTTTCAAAGATTCTTTCATACAGTATGTTTTTCTTACTGTTGATTTGTCAATAAATGCACGTTGTCTATACAATGCTCAGTAACAAACCATAAAAAAAAAAATAGCTGCTCATTCAGCCAAAACTGAATTTGAAGCATTTCAGTCATATATTAAATATATGAAAGTTCATATTGGTTACAGTAAAATAGTATAGGAAAGACTAAAACTGCATGAGTTTCATGAAGAAAAGAGTTTTCAATGAAAAATCAAATTGTTTGGACATATGCCACTATGGTGACTAATAAATCGAAGATAACATAAAATAATATAAAACACCTCAAGCCAGAAATCAATGATTAACATTCACCTTTTTAAAAATATGTTTTGTTCTCAATACAGAAAAGTAAAACCACAGTTGGATTCACAGTGCATTCATCTTATATATTTCTTCCAAACGGAGCTTCAATAGGAAATGTTTCAAATTATTTCAGATCACCTTCTTCCCCATCTTGGTTAATGCAACTCCAACGTTCCAATATTTGATTCAAAAATTTAAGGGAACTTTTTTTTTTTTTATTTGACAGATAGATCTAGACAGTGAGAGAGAGAGACAGAGATAAAGGTCTTCCTTCCGTTGGTTCACTCCTCAAATGGCCGCAACGGTTAGAGCTGCGTCGAATCTGAAGCCAGGAGCCAGGTGTTTCTTCCTGGTCTCCCATGCGGGTGCAGGGGCCCAAGCAACTTGGGCCATCCACCACTGTCTTCCGGGGCCACAGTAGAGAGCTGGACTGGAAGTGGAGCAACCAGGACTAGAACCCGGCACATATATGGGATACCGGTGCAGCAGGCGGAGGATTAACCAAGTGAGCCATGGCACCGGCCCTAAGGGAACTTTTAATTCCTCTTTTTCTTGACACTCATTTGACCACTAGTAAATTCTCTTGATGCTCTCTTTGAAATATAACCAGAAACCAATGGCTTGCCAACACATGCACTGCGTGTCATTTTAAAATCTTATGCTTATAAGTTGGCTAATTTTCCCATGCTTGTCCTGAGCCGTCTTTTCTCAGTACAGCAGTCATACTGACTCTTTTAAACATGCATTTGATGGTGTCACTTCCCGGCTCACAGTCTTCAAAGGACTTTTCATCTCCCCCCAGTGGCCTCCAAGGTCCTTGTGTGCTGCACCTCTCCATACCTGCATCCACGTCCACCCCTCCCCCACACACATGATCACATGCTTTTGTTTGGCTGAGTGGTTTTCTTTACTGTATCTCTTATCCCTCACCATTCTGCCTTTTCACACATCCTGTTCTGGCTCCCAACTCACTTCCTGCCTTGTTTTGTTCCTTCTTCCCCACAGAGCAACCTCTGATTTTCTCTAGTCTCTGGTCCAATTTTACCTCATCAATTAGGCAAACCATCTCCCACTCACCCTCCCTCTCTGCTATGCTTTTAACAAGTGATAAGTTAACTTTTTTCTCTCTACCTTTGCCCCTCCCCATCCTCAAAACTTGCATCACACACCTTAGAATGCAAGTTTCCTAAAGGCAGGGGTCTGTCTGGTCAGTTTTGTTCACTGTGGTATCTCCAGAATCTAGCATAGTTCTTAGCACATTCTGAGTGTTCTCCGAATATTTCTTGAATTAATGAACTGAAAGTTTTGTGTTAAAGTTGCTAAGTGATACTGTATACTTTTTTTGTATTTCAAATTTTAAAATAAAGTCTAATAATATATTTAGACAGAATTGGCATTACTTTATTTCCAAACAATAATTTTTCTTCCTGATAGTGTTTATATGAAAAATATGTGCTATACATTGTTCTCTGTGATAAAAAGCCCTGCATTATAGAAATGAAATGTGGCATTTTATAAATATGCTACTGTATTACATAAGTTGCTTTATTAATCTAAATTTTTTTGATTGTGTTCAGTGATCATTTGAAAGTATAGGATGTTGACTTTAAGAAGGGAATGTATATCATTATCTTTAAAAATCAATATATTTTCATGGTTTCATAAGAGCTATTACAACATTTATTTCCTAAGTGCAACATTATGAGCAAAACACAAATATAGAAACTTCAAAGTCTTTATGGATGATCTATTCTTAGTTTTTCTATTTCTGGATGATAAAACTAAGACCCAGATTTGTAATATGGCTTTCCCAATGATCATATACCTATAAGCAGTGTTCCCAGGACATCTTATTGTTAATATAGCCCAATATTATCATTCAAAAATATTGTAGGAAAGAAATAATAATGATAAAACCATCTTCATTAAAAACTGCATGATTAGCACACTTATCTTTCTGAAATATTGAAATTATTACTCATATGTGAATAAAATTACTTCTATAAAATAATACTGCAGGTAATAAGTAAAGACTTTCAGCAAAAATAAAGAAATTACCCAGAAGCAGCATAATTACAGAATATTCTAACATTACTGGGCAAATTGGGTTTCAGCAAAACAAAGTCTCTTCAATATTAACTAATGGAGCATTACTCTCTTTCATTTTCTTTATAATTATCTTCAAGTTGAAAGCAAGATGGCCTACAGCTCACAGAGGGAATTAAACCATTGATTACCATGACATTGGGTGAGTTATATGTGATTCAGCTTCAAACACCATAAGATAGTCAGCAGAGATTCCAGCCTCCCAGTGTACCTCTATAGACCTCAGTAAACACAAGCCATAAATTTTATTTAGCATAGTAGTTAGAATCAGCCTAATAAACAAGAAGAACAACCAAATGAAGAGAAAGAAAAATAACTACAACAATAAAGAGGACTGTTTTTACCTTTATTTTTTGTTTAGGTTTCCTTGTTGAGGTAAGAAGTTAGAAGCATATAACTAATTGCTTTGGTAAACCTCAAAACATTGGTCCCATCTTCATTCTTTTCATCACCCGAGATGATCATCTGTGATCACAACCAATTTACTTGCATCTCATCCATGGAAGTCAAATCTAGTCTCCAAGGAGGCAAAAACTTGAAAGCATTCTTAAATTATACAGTATATTGATTTTGCAAATATGAAGAATTTAAGAAATATAAGATCTTAAGGGATGTATTATCATCCATAAACTATCATTCTGCATAGCTGATACCTGAAAATCTTGGCTAAATCTACTATTTACTTGAGAATCAAAAATTCAGTTGTCTTCAGGCAGCTTTTGAATCAGGATACAATCACTGCCCACCGTTTTTATCATTTTTCCCCAGAATATTATAGAGGAGATGAAATTAGTCATTCTGCACAGTACATGGAGGCATCTGGTTGGACTGCACCATATTCAAATTGCTTTTAAATAGAAGCTAATGTATGAGTTTCAGGTGTTGAATGAACACCAGGAATGTGCTTTAAAACAGTTTGTGTAATCCATGCACAAATTTTGTCTCATGTTGTTCAGTAAGTTATAAAGGCAATTTTCATTATATATATTTTTTTTAAATTCCCTCTGAAATACTAGTGATGCAGGACAGACTTAGCTGTTTGACAATACCTGTGTCATAATTATATAAAGTTGTTGTTTTGTTTTTATTTTTTTCTAGGGAGAGGAAATCATTTAATATTCTGTTTTTAATGAGTTAGAATGAGAATTGGAATTAGATAATTCTGGCTATATTTAAAATGTTTTAAAAAATGAGATTTTCTTTTTTTTTTTAATTTTTTTTTTGACAGGCAGAGTGGACAGTGAGAGAGAGAGACAGAGAGAAAGGTCTTCCTTTGCCATTGGTTCACCCTCCAATGGCCGCCGCGGCCGGCGCACTGAGGCCAGCGCACCGCGCTGATCCGATGGCAGGAGCCAGGTGCTTATCCTGGTCTCCCATGGGGTGCAGGGCCCAAGTACTTGGGCCATCCTCCACTGCACTCCCTGGCCACAGCAGAGAGCTGGCCTCGAAGAGGGGCAACCGGGACAGAATCCGGCACTCTGACTGGGACTAGAACCCGGTGTGCCGGCGCCGCAAGGCGGAGGATTAGCCTAATGAGCAGCGGTGCTGGCTTAAAAAATGAGATTTTTATCATGCTTTCAATTGGTGTAAAATTGAATGTAAGGAGCTGTTTGTTTCCAGTTGTATATCCAGCTAAAAATAGCACAAAGGGGGAAAAGGTACTTGATCATAGGATTTTTTATTGGTTCTTTGGTTTCTGCAGTCACTGTAGCCACAGCTATAGAGAAGTAATTCAAAAATGTTCTAGATATATGCTTGACACGTGGTTCTTTCACATTTATAAAATTAGATTGTGCATAAAGAATTACACATTTTAAATAATGCAAGCATTACTAAATGGTATAAATTTTCTTTTTTGTAAACTGAAATATTTATACATTTTTGTAAAATTTAAACATGTCAATTTAGTTTTCCTTTGGTATATGTTGTCTTTTAAAAATCGTTAGCATTTCAAATAGATAACTCCAATGTTTTATTCTGTGTTTCATTTTGGAGGTTATTTAAATAAATGATTAAGTGCCTATGGATATCTCTTAGCAGCAAGAAAATCTTGTGATCCCAGTATAATTTGGATACCAAAAATTTATAAAAGAAACATTAAAATGTGCATGATTTTAGATTATCATTCTTTTTAATTCTAAGGTGATTTGACACTCTTCTATTTCTGTTTTTTAGAAATTTGGAATAGAAAGTTAAAATACCTCATATTTTATGAGTAAAATTATTTTTCAGAATAGTATTCTGAGTCACACCCAGTTCCTTGATTCTGGCGCCAGCATCCTGAAAGACAGCCTGCAGGGTTAGTGAAGGATGGAGAGAGTGCCCACCCCACAGCAGTGATTACCCAGTACAGCTTTGCAGTCCTCATCTACGTACAAAATGTAAAAGATCATCTAATCTGCTATGTTAGAGGAAAGGCAGAAGAAGCGAGCGGGAATGGAGGGAGGAAAAGAGGAAGGAAGGGATGGAAGAAGAAAGTTATGAAAGGGAATGGAAGGAGACAAAATTCCAATTACCT